GGCTCGGCCGATAAATCGAGAAGGTCGTGCGTTAAGACCAAACGCAATCTGAGCGTCACAGCATCTGATTTGCAAAGTCTGGGGTGGATGACCTCAAGCAACATCAACCTGTGGCATGTTCTTGGGGCGTCTGAGCATTGTTGGTGTCTGAGCATTGTTGGTGTCTGAGCATTGTTGGTGTCTGAGCATTGTTGGTGTCTGAGCATTGTTGGTGTCCGAGCATTGTTGGTGTCTGAGCATTGTTGGTGTCCGAGCATTGTGGTGTACAAGCATTGTGGCGTCCGAGCGTTTTGGCGTCCGAGCATTGTGGCGTCCGAGCATTTTGGCGTCCGAGCATTGGTGCATCAGAGCATTGGCCCATCAGGGTGTTCGACACTCGGTTTCAGAAATCTGAATATTTTCAGTTTGACATGGAGCCTCAACCAATCAGAAAATATAATCCAGGATGTTTCTCGGAGACAGATGCTACATTCTAGCTGTGATTGTTTCTACAGAGCTGTAATGAAATTTAAATAAATAATTATAAAGGGGTTAATTTCCCCAGGTTTTAAAAAGCCAGGAGAATTTTAGGCAGTATTTAGTCAGGTAAACTTCCAGATCTTGCCGGACCAATGATAGGACAGGAGGCACAGCTTTACCATGCATCACTCTAACTCCAACAGCTTAACATGCTTCAGGGACTAAAAAAATACTAAAGCAGAGTGTGTCGCTTGGAGATCCTAAGTCACATCTGTAGTTATCTGATTGGCTCTAACCCGATGATGCTGACCCTGTTAGTCCCGCCTTTAAAATCGAAGCTCATCCAGCTCTTTGCAAGACTGATAGGCTGTGTAAAAGAATGGCTGGCAAGGCTAGGAGAATGGTCTAGCACACTGCTTTTCTTATGCCTTAGACAGGCTCTGACAGCACTCAAATAACCTCAGGCCCTCCCTGCTCAGAGGAGACCGGTGCCACTTGGCTGGGGTTATAAGCAGTTTAGCTTTTGGCGAGTTATGCAGAGAAGTCACTGGATGTATTGTGACATCCCTGGGGATCCTTTCTGAGAGGGACCGTCTGGGCTATGGGACCATTGAGAGTGGATCGTGTTGCATCCATATTTGGTTTGATGTTTTTGTCTTTCATAACTAGTTTTGTTTATTCAATTACATCAAACAAAAGAAGGATACAGAGACTGAACCAGCCCAGTGCATTAGAGTAATTGCCCAGCCTCTGAGGTTTAATATCCAGCGAGAGTTTTTCCTTTGAAGCCAGGGTGACCTTTATTGTTGCCAAAGTAAGATGAGCGAGCCTTCCCATGCCCTTATGTGTTTCCTTCCTGTCAGCAGGATGGAGGAAAACACGAATTTCTAGTCGGAGACATGCCCTCAACTTGTGTGGGAGCATATGGGAGTGAGCCAGTCAGGGACAAAATCCAACATGCTGGAGCTTCTTCTTTTCTATTATTCATAAAGTGGAAGAAAGGCGGTGAAAAAGAGGAGGAGGAAAACAGTCAAACCCTTTGAAGCATGGACAGCACATTTCTAAAAGACCTAATATGTCCCCTGTCCAACACCAAGCAGGCTCTTCTTCCCTATGAACTTTATCAATACCGCCTCCTATATAATCAGCTGGTGAGAAGACACACAGCTAAGGCACCAACGATACATTTGAGGTTTTTCAGTTACTGCCAGAGGCTAGACAGCTGGTTCACTCGAAGACATTAATCAATATTAGAAAAATACAGAGGCGGACCTTTGGAAAGCCATCAAAGAGGCCGATTAGGGCCTCTGATTAAGAGAGACTGCACATCAAAGATTTTGATTTTATTATTTTATCTGTTATTTTCTTATATTAAAATCATCTATGCAGATTTATTATCCAAACAGTAACTACATAAATATGAAAGAGACACGCACATTTACAAACAAAACTAAAAGAAAATACAGAAAATAA